CTTTTGGGTCCCCAGTTTTTTACAAGCACCCCAGCCCCCGCGGTCGTTTCCCAAAAACATACAACAATTTGGAAAATTTTCATATTATCAAGCCTTTGTGGGTGTTTGCCCCTTGCAAAGAAAAGTCACCATGGGCCCAAGAAAGCTTCTAGTCCCAAACCCTACACCCAAAAAGGGGGGGAAAATTTACTATGGAGTTTGAAAAAAGGGGAATTTTTTGTAAGTATGAAATTGGAGTGCTTGTCTCTGAGCTGGTAGGTTGTATAAAAAACCCAATCAACCATCGTACTATTGGGGAAAGGAAAACGGCAATAAAGGGGAAGCTTTTCCTTCCCAAAGGGTTTTGCAATTTGTTTTCAAAAACTAAAGTTCGAAAGTGAAAGTAAAAATGTTGAGGGGGAGTTTTTGGTTTTTGGGAAAACGAGAAACGGGATGAAGGAGAAGCATCTCTCAAGCGTCATTTGTGAAAAGGCTAGGAAGTTGCATGACGTTTTAAATTACAAAAATCCCAGAACTAGTGATTTTGAGTAAATTTTAAAGGCCAGAAAAGGGGTTGGGTTTTGGAGATTTAAAAAGCGTAGTGGGCATTCATAGTTTTGAAAAGGGCATGGTGGGCTGCCAGTTGGGGACCACAAATCGGCAAAAAATATGTGCAGGACGTCAAGGATTTCCCTAGTTTTTTAAAGGACTGAAACCTGAAAAAGTGTTTAATTGTGACGAAACAGGCCTTTTTTTGGGAAAAGCCCCCAATGCCAAGCAGGGTGGGATACTCAGGAAAAAAAAGGCACCCCCAGGACATAAGCCTATAAAAGACGGGCCCTTACTCTGTTGGTTTGGTGCCAATGTATTGGTGATTGCAAAGTGAAGCCTTTTTTGGGGTTGAAATCATCTAAAAACCCCCAGTGTGTTCGGGGAAAAAAACAATGCCCCTAAAGGCTAATTTGTGTTTGTGTGGGGGGCCCAAAAAACAGTAAGGCATGGGTCATAGGGACTTTTTTATAAAGGGTTTTAACCATCTTTTCCCCCCAATGTAAAAAATTTCCCTAATTGAAAAGAAAATTAGACCTTAAGTGCCTCCGGGTTATTAGACAATGCCCCTGGTATCCTTCAAAATTGGGCCCCAGAGCGACTTTTGGGGGACATAAAGCTTTTTAAGGGGGAAGTTTTTGCCTCCTAATCCCAAACTCCTCTCCTGCAGCCCATGGACCACCCAGGTTATTTCCAATTTCAAAAAAACTGGACACAAAAGTTTATTTTTGAAAGGTGCTTTGTAGTGACCTCAGAAACTCAACTGACTAAGAGAGTTTTGGAAAAAATCATTTTTCCCCCTCAATTGTTTTGGGGAAAAATTATAGGTAAGGTTGGGAGGAAGTGACCCAAGAGGGGCATTTAAATCTGGGTTGGAAAAAACTGAGGCCAGATGTGTAGACAAAAGGGATTTTAAGGGGTTTTAGGCTAACCTGAGAATCCCATGCCAGTTGAGGAATCCATTGTGCCATTGGGGGAAAATCCCTTTGGGGTTTGGGGGTTTGTGGGGGAAAGGTGTGGAAAAAGTTGGTGGTGGAGGCAGGGAAGAACTAACCCCTGATGAGCTGCTTGTCATCTTGAACAGCAAGAGGGCAGGAACCTGAGGAAATGCTTCGGAGGAAAGGGGGGGAGGGGAAAATTTAAGAAGTTGCCTTTCTTTTAAGATAAAGGAATGTGTGCCAAGTGGCTTGAAGTGCAAACCTTTTTTATGAAAAAACACCCTGAACAGCTACTGCAAGCCCTGTTGGGGAAAACCCGGGCCCCTGACAATGTTGTGAACCCCCTTTAGGAAAGTCTTAAAGGGGAAAGAGAGGTACGGTAACTAGGAACGTTTTGTTGTGCGACAGAAGTCCAGTGACCTTTCAGCTGGGGCTAAATTTGGGATTTTAAAAAAAACAAAGGGAAATAACCCCCGAAAAAGATTGCTGCCTCAAGTGCTAATGGAAGGGGGGTTTCCCCCTTTTAAACCTTTAAAAAGATTTAACGCTTCCCCCCCTCCCATCCCATCAATCATTTACCCGATCTTCAATAAAGGTAGGGGTCTGTAACTGTGCATGTAATCTTCAGTTTGTGTGTATTAAAATTAATATTTCATTTTGGGGGAAAAAAATTTTTTTTTTAAATTTCTTTTGGGTGTTCCTTTACGGATTAATTTGATTTCCATTAAATTTTTATGGGGAAAATTAAATTGACTTAAAGATTTAAATTTTTATAACGATGAGCTCTCAGGAACGGATTAAAATCGCTGGTTGAAAGGGGCCATGTATATTTAAAAAAAAAATACTGTTTATGTTTATATTAAAAAAGGGAAAACCAGTTGGCAAAAAAAAATTACAAAAGAAACAAAGTAAAAAAAAATAGGCAAACATTTTTTATTTACCCCCTTAAAAAAGTCCCCAAAAGTAGATCTTTCATTTTCACGCTAGCGATCCCCAACGGAGATTACATTTGCCCCCACTAGCCGGGTCCCCAAAGTAGATCCCACATTTGCACACCCAGCGTCCGAACGTAAAATTACATTTGGGCCCGCTAGCGATTCCCAAGTAGATTTATTTGCCACTAGCGATCCAAAGTAGTTTTCCCTTTCACCCCTAGGTTTTCCCAAAGTAGATCTAAAATTTTCAACTGCGATCCGAAAAGTTGTTTTCATTTGCACCCCTAACGGTTTCCCCAAAAGTAGATTACATTTGCACCCCTAGCGAACCCAACGTGATCAAAATTTGCACCACTAGCGATCCGAACGTAGTTTCATTTTCACCAATAGCGGGTCCAACGTAGATCTACATTTTTTCCCCCGTAAACGATCCGAACGTAGATTTTACATTTTTTTTACATTTTAAAGCATGTAAAAAGAAAAAATTGATCTACGATCGGAGCGTAGCGGTGCAAACGTAGGTCTAAATTTTGGGCAGAGAAGAGTTAAAAATTAAAAAAAAAAATTAACTTTACAAAAATTTTTTGAGAAACAAAATTTAAAGTTAACCATTTTTCAGTATCCAAACAATAACTTTCTAAAAAATGGGAATCTTTTTACATTTTGATCACAAACAAAAAATGGTTTGTGGTGGATTACCTTTCCTGCCCGGGGTTTTGGGTCCTGAAGTTATCCATGTGGTATTTATTTAAAAATAGTGAGGGATTCATGGCTATGTGGTAAAATAAAAAAATTTTGTAAATCTCAATCATATTCCCCTTCAATGAGTGTTAAAGGGCTTGTTAATTTTTTTAAATTAAAAACATCCGCCATTCCCACCCCGGAAGGGTGACCCCCAGGAGGGAGGTTTACCACCCAGGGAGGGTGACCTCCCAGGGAGGGTTTTCCCAAAAAAAAAGAAGAAACAAAGTTATTTCTTCTTTATATATTTAGTAATTTATGCTCGTGGCATTTTAGCCACCTCTTACGACATGCTTGGCTTATGGAGGAAGAATTCTTCTCCACTTCCCCATAGAGATGTTCCTGTATATAAACAATAAATTCTGATTACAACAATTATGTTTTAATATTTGTCCTCACTGGGTACAGCACTACCTGGGTATAAATCATGGAACGGGTGGGATTTCAACCCATGGCAGGTACCAAAACTCACAGGTCAGTGTGTTAACTACTTGGCCTGTGAGTTTTAGCACTCACAGCCATAGTTTCAACCCCTCACCAGCTCTGTGAGTTGTTTGCAATTGTGCTACTATGATTTTGTGAGTCAGTTAACAGGTATAACTAATGAAGACTCTTTCTACAGGTATATCTCTCTAGGGTTAAAAATCATGGATTTCCTAAAAAATAATTTTACAGTACACAAATAACCCGGACATAGAAGAGGAAACTTACGATGATGTCATAAGTTCCTTTATCTTATGTGCGGGTTATTTGTGTATTGTTCCAGTCATGGTATTGTGCCTTTTTGTTCTTTCTAACTTTACAATATCCATCAAATGATAAATATATCAAGCATTAGAAACAGCACTTCGGAAACCTAACCTAACCGATGGCAACCATAGCATTCCCTGATACAGGATCTGGTGGATGCTACCATAGCAACCATAGTGTTCCTAGACACAAGATCTGGTGGATGTTACCATGGCAACCATAGTGTTCCTAGATACAAGATATGGTGGATGCTACCATAGCAAGCATAGTGTTTCTAGATACAAGAACTGGTGGATGTTACCATGGCAACCATAATGTTCCTAGATACAAGATCTGGCGAATGGTACCATAGCAACCATAGTGTTCCTAGATACAAGATCTGGTGGATGCTACCATGGCAACCATATGTTCCTAGATACAAGATATGGTGGATGTTACCGCATCTGCTAGAAAAATGATAGGATGGATAATGAGAACCTTCAAAACTAGGGATGCCAAGCCCATGATGATTCTCTTCAAATCACTTGTTCTGTCTAGGCTGAAAGACTGCTGTACACAAACTGCTTCCTTCAAGGCAGGTGAAACTGCTGACCTGGAGAGTGTACAAAGAATTTTCTTGGCACACACATGTACGATAAAGCACCTAAATTACCTCCCAGCATACGTAAGGGGACTTACCAATACACCCCTCACTATCTTCAAGAAGGCACTGGACAGGCACTTAAAGTCAGTACCTGACCAGCCGGGCTGTGGCTCATACGTCAGTTTGCATGCGGCCAACAGTAACAGCCTGGTTGATCAGACCCTGATCCACCACGAGGCCTGGTCTCAGACTGGGCCGTGGGGGCATTGACCCCTGAAACCCTCTCCAGGTATACTCCAGGTATGGCAACCATAGTGTTCCTAAATACAAGATCTGGAGGATGTTACCATGGCAACAATAGTGTTCCTGGATACAAGATCTGGTGGATATTACCATAGCAACAATAGTGTTCCTAGATACAAGATCTGGTGGATGTTACCATAGCAACCATAGTGTTCCTAGATACAAGATCTGGTGGATGTTACCATGGCACCTGACAAATCCACTGTGTGGTACAGTATTTACATAAGACATTTGAAAGAATGCAACTGTATAAAAACCAACTTGACAATATCCATGGCCTGGTAGATAACGTCGGACATATCCACCCCAGTGACCATGGCCCCAGTTTTGGCACAGAACATGGACAGGATGGCTGTTCCACAACCAAGGTCCAAAACTCTCTTGCCGTTCAAAAGGTTGGAATTCTTCATGATTGCATCCCTATACGATTCAGTTCTTATGCGATCCTGAGGGTAAAAAAATTTTAAAACATTACAATAAATTCCAGATAAATATGCATCAAGAATAGCCAACTGGTAATAGGTAAACTGGTAATTAGTAATTGATAGCTGAAGATATCTGGCATAATCTACAAATTTTTGCCTTCACAGCATGAAACTGATAATAAAACAACTTTATCACTGCCATGTGGGTGTGACATTTGTCTGTGAAGACTGTTTGTGGCCACAATGGGGAACTATGCTGACCTTTAAGCATAGAAACATACCTAACTGGTTGAAACTTTAAAATATTATCCTACTAGTTTTAGGAATGGTTTACCATGGGGTTGGATCTTGTCCATTCTCTGATTTATTTTGCATCATTCTACAAATACAAGTATGCTTATTACTAACTAATGACTCAATAGGAACATGAAACTTATATTATAAACCAAGTACCCCACAATACAGTGCCAACAAAATTAATAGGTCAAAATAAAATTACCATAAGTCATAGTACAGTGAATCCTCGCTTTAACAGACTAATACGGGGCATTCACTATATCAGATTGATATTAAAACACAGTAAAAAAGTGCACCAAAGTACTCTACTGTATACAGTAGTCCTCCCCTGTATCCACGGGGGATACATGTCAAAACCTACCATGGATACAGGAGGGCCCCACTTTACAGAGCTTTGCTTTACAACATTTTGCTAATACGTACAGTAGTTTTCAATTACATATACCCATTCTTCATTTATTTGGCTTCATATAATAAATATATTCACCACTCACTATAAGCTAAGGACAAAAATATTTTTAGGTAAATAATGTGTGTACTGTACAGTGGACCCCCGCATAACGATTACCTCCGAATGCGACCAATTATGTAAGTGTCTTTATGTAAGTGCATTTGTACGTGTATGTTTGGGGGTCTGAAATGGACTAATCTACTTCACAATATTTCTTATGGGAACAAATTCGGTCAGTACTGGCACCTGAACATACTTCTGGAGTGAAAAAATATCGTTAACCAGGGGTCCACTGTATATGCATTTTTTAGGTATAGCTCTATTGCTCAGTTAACCCTTTGACTGTTTTGGTCGTATATGTATATAGTAGGTTGGTAGACAGCAACCACCCAGGGAAGTACTACCGTCCTGCCAGATGACTGTGAAACAGAAACCTGTAACTGTTTTGCATGATGGTAGGATTGCTGGTTTCTTTTTCTGTCTCATAAACATGCTAGATAACAGGGATATCTTGCTACTCCTACTTACACTTTGGTCACACTTCACAGACACGCACATGCATATATATATACATACATCTAGGTTTTGGAGTGAGATTAACAAGTTAAGAAAGCCTAGAGAACAAATGGATTTGTCAGTTAAAAATAGGAGAGGAGAGTTATTAAATGGAGAGTTAGAGGTATTGGGAAGATGGAGGGAATATTTTGAGGAATTGTTAAATGTTGATGAAGATAGGGAAGCTGTGATTTCGTGTATAGGACAAGGAGGAATAACATCTTGTAGGAGTGAGGAAGAGCCAGTTGTGAGTGTGGGGGAAGTTCGTGAGGCAGTAGGTAAAATGAAAGGGGGTAAGGCAGCCGGGATTGATGGGATAAAGATAGAAATGTTAAAAGCAGGTGGGGATACAGTTTTGGAGTGGTTGGTGCAATTATTTAATAAATGTATGGAAGAGGGTAAGGTACCTAGGGATTGGCAGAGAGCATGCATAGTTCCTTTGTATAAAGGCAAAGGGGATAAAAGAGAGTGCAAAAATTATAGGGGGATAAGTCTGCTGAGTATACCTGGTAAAGTGTATGGTAGAGTTATTATTGAAAGAATTAAGAGTAAGACGGAGAATAGGATAGCAGATGAACAAGGAGGCTTTAGGAAAGGTAGGGGGTGTGTGGACCAGGTGTTTACAGTGAAACATATAAGTGAACAGTATTTAGATAAGGCTAAAGAGATCTTTGTGGCATTTATGGATTTGGAAAAGGCGTATGACAGGGTGGATAGGGGGGCAATGTGGCAGATGTTGCAAGTGTATGGTGTAGGAGGTAGGTTACTGAAAGCAGTGAAGAGTTTTTACGAGGATAGTGAGGCTCAAGTTAGAGTATGTAGGAAAGAGGGAAATTATTTTCCAGTAAAAGTAGGCCTTAGACAAGGATGTGTGATGTCACCGTGGTTGTTTAATATATTTATAGATGGGGTTGTAAGAGAAGTAAATGCGAGGGTCTTGGCAAGAGGCGTGGAGTTAAAAGATAAAGAATCACACACAAAGTGGGAGTTGTCACAGCTGCTCTTTGCTGATGACACTGTGCTCTTGGGAGATTCTGAAGAGAAGTTGCAGAGATTGGTGGATGAATTTGGTAGGGTGTGCAAAAAAAAGAAAATTAAAGGTGAATACAGGAAAGAGTAAGGTTATGAGGATAACAAAAAGATTAGGTGATGAAAGATTGAATATCAGATTGGAGGGAGGGAGGCGGGAGGAGATGAATGTATTCAGATATTTGGGAGTGGACGTGTCAGCGGATGGGTCTATGAAAGATGAGGTGAATCATAGAATTGATGAGGGGAAAAGAGTGAGTGGTGCACTTAGGAGTCTGTGGAGACAAAGAACTTTGTCCTTGGAGGCAAAGAGGGGAATGTATGAGAGTATAGTTTTATCAACGCTCTTATATGGGTGTGAAGCATGGGTGATGAATGTTGCAGCGAGGAGAAGGCTGGAGGCAGTGGAGATGTCATGTCTGAGGGCAATGTGTGGTGTGAATATAATGCAGAGAATTCGTAGTTTGGAAGTTAGGAGGAGGTGCGGGATTACCAAAACTGTTGTCCAGAGGGCTGAGGAAGGGTTGTTGAGGTGGTTCGGACACGTAGAGAGAATGGAGCGAAACAGAATGACTTCAAGGGTGTATCAGTCTGTAGTGGAAGGAAGGCGAGGTAGGGGTCGGCCTAGGAAAGGTTGGAGAGAGGGGGTAAAGGAGGTTTTGTGTGCGAGGGGCTTGGACTTCCAGCAGGCATGCGTCAGCGTGTTTGATAGGAGTGAATGGAGACAAATGGTTTTTAATACTTGACGTGCTGTTGGAGTGTGAGCAAAGTAACATTTATGAAGGGGTTCAGGGAAACCGGCAGGCCGGACTTGAGTCCTGGAGATGGGAAGAACAGTGCCTGCACTCTGAAGGAGGGGTGTTAATGTTGCAGTTTAAAAACTGTAGTGTAAAGCACCCTTCTGGCAAGACAGTGATGGAGTGAATGATGGTGAAAGTTTTTCTTTTTCAGGCCACCCTGCCTTGGTGGGAATCGGCCAGTGTGATAATAATAATAATAATCTAGGTTTTTCTCCTTTTTCTAAATAGCTCTTGTTCTTCTTTATTTCTTCTATTGTCCATGGAGAAGTGGAAAAGAATCTTTCCTCCGTAAGCCATGCGTGTCGTATGAGGCGACTAAAATGCCGGGAGCAATGGGCTAGTAACCCCTTCTCCTGTAGACATTTACTAAAAAAGAGAAGAAGAAAAACTTTATAAAACTGGGATGCTTGAATGTGCGTGGATGTAGTGCGGATGACAAGAAACAGATGACTGCTGATGTTATGAATGAAAAGAAGTTGGATGTCCAGGCCCTAAGCGAAATAAAGCTGAAGGGGGTAGGAGAGTTTCGGTGGGGGGAAATAAATGGGATTAAATCTGGAGTATCCGAGAGAGTTAGAGCAAAGGAAGGGGTAGCAGTAATGTTGAAGGATCAGTTATGGAAGGAGAAAAGAGAATATGAATGTGTAAATTCAAGAATTATGTGGATTAAAGTAAAGGTTGGATGCGAAAAGTGGGTCATAATAAACGTGTATGCACCTGGAGAAGAGAGGAATGTAGAGGAGAGAGAGAGTTTGGGAGATGTTAAGTGAATGTATAGGAGCCTTTGAACCAAGTGAGAGAGTAATTGTGGTAGGGGACCTGAATGCTAAAGTAGGAGAAACTTTTAGAGAGAGTGTGGTAGGTAAGTTTGTGGTGCCAGGTGTAAATGATAATGGGAGCCCTTTGATTGAACTTTGTATAGAAAGGGGTTTAGTTATAGGTAATACATATTTTAAGAAAAAGAGGATAAATAAGTATACAAGATATGATGTAGGGCGAAATGACAGTAGTTTGTTGGATCATGTATTGGTAGATAAAAGACTGTTGCGTAGACTTCAGGATGTACATGTTTATAGAGGGGCCACAGATATATCAGATCACTTTCTAGTTGCAGCTACATTGAGAGTAAAAGGTAGATGGGATACAAGGAGAATAGAAGCATCAGGGAAAAGAGAGGTGAAGGTTTATAAACTAAAAGAGGAGGCAGTTAGGGTAAGATATAAACAGCTATTGGAGGATAGATGGGCTAGTGAGAGCATAGGCAATGGGGTCGAAGAGGTATGGGGTAGGTTAAAAAATGTAATGTTAGACTGTTCAGCAGAAGTTTGTGGTTACAGGAAAGTTGGTGCGGGAGGGAAGAGGAGCGATTGGTGGAATGATGATGTAAAGAGAGTAGTAAGGGAGAAAAAGTTAGCATATGAGAAGTTTTTACAAAGTAGAAGTGATGCAAGGAGGGAAGAGTATATGGAGAAAAAGAGAGAGGTTAAGAGAGTGGTGAAGCAATGTAAAAAGAGAGCAAATGACAGAGTGGGTGAGATGTTATCAACAAATTTTGTTGAAAATAAGAAAAAGTTTTGGAGTGAGATTAACAAGTTAAGGAAGCCTAGAGAACAAATGGATTTGTCAGTAAAAAAATAGGAGAGGAGAGTTATTAAATGGAGAGTTAGAGGTATTGGGAAGATGGAGGGAATATTTTGAGGAATTGTTAAATGTTGATAAGATAGGGAAGCTGTGTTTTCGTGTATAGGGCAAGGAGGAATAACATCTTGTAGGAGTGAGGAAGAGCCAGTTGTGAGTGTGGGGAAAGTTCGTGAGGCAGTAGGTAAAATGAAAGGGGGTAAGGCAGCCGGGATTGATGGGATAAAGATAGAAATGTTAAAAGCAGGTGG